TCTCCTTCTCCTAGACAGACCCCTGAGAAGGCTTCCCGAACTGTACCCCTGACCCTGGGAAGGGAGAACAGAGAGATTCCCAAGTCAGCCATGGTCTACACCATGAGGAGGAGCAGACACAATGTGAAGCTCTACAAAGTCATCCATCTGAGTCTTTCTTCAGGTTATCAAGGTTATTAATCCCCTTCACACCCAGATATCTATTGCCAACCAGAAAAAGGAAAAACTCAGAGGCACAATCTTTACTTTTGATTCTTCTTCCCCTAAAAGCATGAGTGAATTATGAAGCCCAGGGCCAAAGGATTGCTGCACCACTGGGAACCAAAAGAATCCAAGTTGAAAGTTGGCTGCCTCTTTTTTCCAATTTTTCAAACCTCTCTGTCAGAGAAAACTCCAGATGCAATTACCTCTCACTAAAGAAAGATGTATTTCAACAGACTGGTGAATATGCGTCTACCATATACACAACACAGTAAACCCAGTAGCCACTGGGAACAAACACCCTGCTCTCCCAGAAACCGACCCCCTTACCAAACAGTACACAGTGACTGCTTTCCTTCCAGACTCTCCCTCACCTTTGGGGGAAATGAAGCAAGAAGGGGCAGCTCCTGCATCAAAACCCCCAGAGGCCCCAACTCACTTTACAAATTTGAATTGGTACACTTCGTGCAGACTTGGACTAATACCCCCAAAAACAAACAGGCCACCACAGCAAGCAAAGTTACACAAAATTATATTGTGTACTTAATAACACAGCTAAGTCAAGTTTCTACACCTATACCACTCATATATTTCCCTAATGACAGAAGCAGGAGAGAAGGGATTAAAACCCAAGTGTCCTGGGAAGCCTTCCTGACCACACTCACTCACACGATAGCAAGTGTTGTTCAGAGATGGAGAAAGAGTTTCGTTGAGCACCTTCTTTTTCTTGGAGGGCAAAAAATATAGTGTCTGCAGAGGAAGGAGGAGTGGTAGGCTCCTCTCCTTTCCCTATCCAGGCAAACAGGGCAGGAAGGTCTACAGACTCATTTCATCATTGCTGGCTTGGAGAGGACCTGAAAACTGAAGCTCCATATGCAATTCACACTCCCAGAATGGCACAAGCATTCATAGCCGCCTGAGTGAGCCCAGGCCTCTATCATATGCTGCCTTCCCCCAACCCTCCCTATCTCAACTCTGGCCTCCAGTAAGAGAACACTCCTAGGTCCCCACAGAACCTTTCAAGAGCCACAGCTACCATCGAAGATGCTGATGAATAAGGCCTAGAAATGACCTAGAGGCCTACCTTGCGGCCCTCCCTCAGTACACAGGACATGATAACAGGCTATAGACCTGAGCACAAACTGCTGCCTCTTCCGCCCCATCCCACATGTGGCCCTGCACTGATCTTCCCTGGGCCTCAATTTCTCCCTCTGCCTGGAAGAGAATGACACTCCCACTCCCCCCCCACCCCACCCACCAAACCCCCAATCAGAGACAGCCTAGTTTAAGGCACTTAGTATAGTATGGCAACCATTACAGTTAGGTACCCATCTTATCCCACCCCTGAATAAGATCCTTGGGGAAGCTGCAACATAGCAAGTGTTCAGTAAATACATAGAGAGTGAGGTGAGAAGGGAATGAGGAAGGAAGAGACAGAAAGTAGAAGGGAATGAAAGTAAGTCTTTAACAGTACTGTATTTCCTTGCTCTTGAGTATTTACCAACTTCATTCAACTGGAAATAATTTTTAAATGGCAATAAAACATACTATGTATTTTTTTTTTAAATCTGCTTTTCTGTGTTAATGCTGGGAAAGGGCTCAGAATTCAGTGTGACATCAGGAAGCTGTACCTCTGAGACCAGCTGGGCTGAACGCCTTCCTGCCCACAGTTACACTTAGGTGCATGCCCTTCCTGTGCCATCTCAACCTGTCTTTTCACTCATCCAACAGCTCCAGTGGGGAACTCCTCTACAGGAGGAGAGCTTCATTTGTAAGTCATGAATCTTAAAAGCAGGATTGTTGGTGTCAAAATAAGAAGATGGGTAGGGGGTACACAGGAGCCAGAGGAAAAAGTCCTTCCTGCCACTTTCTTTTCGAGCCTACTGGTTTTCCCTGTTTTTTGAGTATCCAAACATGGCTCTAAGTACATAACTGGTATTAAACATCATACTCCATGACCGTTCATGAATGATGAACTTAAAGTCATGGAAGGAAGGAAAGGGCATATATGGACACAGCACAGAATACCTGCTTTCTCTCAGTCATGAACACCACAAATTTAAGCCTGGGGCTTGAGGTTTCATGTTTCCTACTCTAAGTGCCTGAGTATACACAGAAGAAAAGGAGGTAGAAAAGCCCCAGCATCAAAGATAAATAAGATGGATAGATCTGACATTATTTTAAAAAGAAGAAAGATTAATTGAGAAAAGAGCTGTGCTACATCTCCTAACTGTCCAGGCTCCTTCTAAACATATAAGGGAGCAACAAGGGGTGAGATATTGTCAGGTAAACCAGGAGGACCTGCCCTAGAGGACAGCTGCTGCCCTCATGTTCTTCATGAGGGGTCCAGCATCACCTCACATTAGTGACACTGACAACCACACTCAACAGTTATGGTGGCAGGAAGGGGAACAGAAGGCAGCCACTAAGGACAGAGACATTACAGGGGGAAAAGAAGAGGACGAGAGATTCCTACTGAGTCTCCACCTCACAAAGACTGCAGAAGAGCAGTGTAACTGTTGGTCTGGCACAGAGCAAAGGACTAATAAATGTCAGCTGCTAGAGTAGTGGCAGTCATGGAGCTGTAGTAATACTAGAAAGCCAGGTCCTTCCCCAAAGCCAGTCTCTCAAGCTGTGGCCAAAAACCCCAAACTCATTTTACTATGATCTCAAATGCTTCTTAATGATGAGGGCAGACTCTGTTTTCAACCTCTTTTATTGACAACATCTTCAATAGGTGCTGTGCTCCACTCTGTTAAGAGGTAGCCTAACACATTCCAGAGGAGGTGGCTGGAGTAGAGGAATGCAGGGATGGGGTGTGAAGGAGAGCCTGCCTGTGCTCTTTGGCCTTGGTCCATATGCCGGAAGTATGGTCCACATGCCAGAAGCATGGTCCATATGGACCATTTCCAGCTCTAAAAAGCTTCCCTCTACCACCAACCCCAGCCCAGTCTCCTGAAGCCAGCAGAAGTCCACAACAAACCACTAAGACAGAGTCACCATCACACCTGTCACTTCCCACAGGCTGTCCCACCTTCCTTCAATCCTTACACATATCTAGCCCACATCCCCCCAAGCCTAGCTAATTGGTTTTCAAAAGGGCAGCATTAGGAAGAAACTAAGGAGGAGACAAAGCTCAATGGCTCCATTTTCCACCCTCCGCTCCCACGCACTTAGTCTCTCCACTCCCTGCTGGTCTTTCCTTCCCTCTTTCCTAGGATTGCTAGAATGATTTGTTCTGAACAGCGACAGGTTTATAGGTTAGCCGACACCTCCGCTCTGTGGAATTTTAATTAACTTCTCCCATCGTCAATATGCTAAAGAACGGGGTCTCCATTCTCTAGGGTCAGCAACGTGTTTCAGGTCCTGCTATATCAGCCGTCAAATTGAAGAATTAATGACGTGGCTAATCGGCTCTAATTCTTAGGGAGAAAAAAATTTGAAAGGGAGCTGTGGAAGGGAGCAGGAGGAGGGGTGCAGACTCCGTGGGTTGAGGAGAAAGAGTCTGAAAGGGGTGAAGCAAAAGTGGGATCAACTCTCTCATAAAACAAGTGGCTGACTTAAAGCCAGAGTTGGAGGGTAGCAGCCCTACAGCTTTCCCATTTCCATTTGGGTGGGGAGTGAGGGAGAAGGAAGTGGAAAAGCCCTGAGGTAAACATTATGACAGAACAGATATAGGAGAGTCCGTGTACCCTGCTAGAGAGGAGAGAGGCTCTGCCTCAGTTCAAGAGGGCCTAGAAAGCAGTAGTGTGCAAAGCCCACTTGTTCACAGGCAAAGCTAGAAAAATACAAGTCAGGCCAAAGGTTAGTGTAAAGCTATCATCAAAAATTTCACAATTTTGGGGCCGGCCCGGTGGCGCACTGCTACAGTGCGCCGCTTGGGAGTGCAGCGGTGCTCCCTATGGTGACTTCACTTTAAAATGTAACACAATTTCATGGGCCGGCCCAGTGGCACACTGCTACAGTGCACTGCTTGGGAGTACGGTGGCGCTTCCGCCGAGGGTTTGGATCCCACATACAGACCGGCCGCTCACTGGCTGAGCGAGGTACGGCTGCAGCACCGAGGGTTGCGATCCCGTTGCCGGTCCCGGTCCGGTATGGGCGCGACACTGAGGGTTGAGATCCGTTGCCGGACACGAAAAAAGACAAAAAAAGGAAAAAAAAAATGTAACACAATTTCAGAATTTCTTTTAGCTTGCACACTTATTTATTGTTCATAAGAGAGCAATGCCAAGACATGTGCAAGATTGCCTCACTTATTTATGTTATTGTCTCAGTTCCAGCTTTCTAGCTCAACCCTTTGCCTAATAACAATCTACAGAGGCCCAGTTGGATACAGGCCTCAAGACTCTCCTCAAGTCTGACTCAAGTCTGTAAGGGATACTCCAGAGGACATTTTCGAAGGGGAACAAGTGAGAGATGTGAGTTGTGAGAGGAGGCTGGCTGGTGCTGTCACCTCCCAGGGAAGCGGAGAGGCCTCTGCTTTAGGTTCAACCCCAGAGAGCATCTGCTCCAGATGGGATGCCCCTAGAAACAGCTGGACTCTTAGTTACATTTTAATATAGTATCTTTTCCTTAACATTTCTGGCGTTAGATGCTTAGGAAATTAGCCCCTAGACTCAACCCCATGCAAATATTAAATGCCTAAAAACCTTAAGTCTCTGGAGGATTTTAAAATCTCTAAGAGAGTGGCTCAAAGCAATCTAGAATATACAGGTGGAATATTTTCTAGCTGACCTCACCTAGTAAAATAAAAGCATTATACTGGACAAAACTATATCTAAAAACATCTCCCTTACCTGAGTAATGGGCTGATAGCAATGGACCAGACTCGGTCTTCAGTCTGGATGGTGTGTAAGCACTGCCCCAGCCGGCCTGAGGCCAAAGGCCATACCTAGAAACAGGAGAGGAGATGCTCTCATTGGCATTGACTGGGATTAGAGGGGAGCAAAGGTACAAGAGGTTGGGTGTTCCTAGGGGATGGGGAAATGGAGAATCCTTTCTGTCCTGCATACACAGAACTCAGGGTATTAGCAGGGGCCTCTAGCTTCTGGCTCACCTACCACCCAGCTAGACCCTAGCTCCCAGTCCTAACCACCCTCTTTTACTTCCACTCAAGAGCTCTTACTTAACCAGCCAATTTTATAACAGGAGTCAGAAGTTTCACATTCCTTGACTGAGAAGTGGGTAGATAGGGCTTGCTTCTCTAGCAAGCCCTATGTAAGCAAGCCCTATGTTTGTGGATTTTCCTTTCTCTTATCTCTCACCAAGATTTTACTTTGGGAAAGGAGGAAGAGGAAGACCAAGGTACAGTGTGGAGGTATAGCAATAGAATTAGAGAGAGGAGTAAAAAGAAAGATGCAAGGGAAGGAAAGAACAGCAGAAAAGAGACTTCAAAGCAGGAAGGTGGTGTGTTGTTGTTTGTTTGTTGATAATGCCCAGGGTCCAGTCCTATTCATGTCAGCAGGGAATTTAGCACCTTGTGTCACCAAAAGAAGCAGAAAAGCTTAACCCTTTTAAGCCTCCATATCTCCTACAGGTTAAAAATATTGCTTGGAGCACATTATCTGGTCCCTATCAGTCAGGAATGTACATTAGCAGCCACTCTGGGCTTAACTCTAATCAACACTCACCGAGCCCTCTCAGCAGTGCATTTAGAAATCTCCCATTAAGCACAAGGCTCCCCCCTCACCTTACCTTACCCCACATGACACACACAGGGACGTAAGCTTCTAACCAAACAGAAATGAAACCTCAGACATAGAGGGCTGTCCCTAGAGAGCAGCCACAGAGGGATCCCTAGGCAGCCAGATGGATCAATGACCTCTCAAGGTCCCTGAAGTGCTATAAGGGGAACACACAAAACTCAGGCAGGACCTTAGATGGAAGAACTTTAAGGACACATTCCTTGAGTTTAAAGGGTAGATGATGGAGTGGGGGTGGTCCTGCCTTTAGGGTCACATGATATCTCTTCCCTAAAAGAGGAGAAAGTGTTTCTTAGAGTTTTTGTGTGTGTGATGAGGGAGGGGGTTGGGGTGACTGTGTGAGTAACTTTTCCCAGTACAGGGAAAAGAAAATAAATGTAAAAAGAAGATCCTGAAAACAGCAGAAAACAAAGGTACATACCACAACTTTTCCTGGAGTGTCATGATTCTGGCTCACTCCTTGGGCTCTAGAGTCAGCCCCCTTTGGCAGTAACTAGATACACTTCTAATGCCCTCTTTTAGACAGCCCCGGTTTGGAAGAGAGCTTTGCCTTATTCCTAATGTAAATTCCTTGGGAGGCAGGTTCTTGCTTGGGAGGTAGGGAGACACTAAGGACTCTGATTACAAAATCTATGGGGACAGCCTTGGCCTGAATTCACTAGTGCCCTCCATGAAAAGAGCTGGTGGATTCCTAGATTTTGCAAACCACAGAATAAGGTTCCTGATCTCCAGGACTGGCTCAGGAAGCATGCAGCCAATTCCGAACATGATCTTGGGAAAGTGGCCCTCCTGGCCTGCCCCAGCAACACACTATCCTCCAGATACATGAGTGTCCTGGTACCTGAGGGACAGTAGTTGGCAACGATATGCTCTTATTTTACCCTTGATGGCCAGATTCAAAACAGACTCATCCCTGGAAAAGACTCAGTGGAAGTGGACATTTACACAGTCCTTTTAAAAAGAAGATTGGTGATATGTATCAAGACCTTAAAATGACCAAAGCCTTTGACTCAGTAATTCTACTGCTGACAATCTATCCTAAGAAAATAATCATAAAACAAAGAAAAGCCTAAACGGTAAAATATCCCCTACAGCCTTCAGTTGCAAAAAAAAAGCATGCATAGGCTTTGGAGTCTAACCAATCTGGGTTTGAATCCTAGTTGTTACTTATTCTCTTTGACCTTAGGGATGTTTCATAACTCCTTAGCTTTAGTTTCCTCATACATCAAATGGGAAATAATGCCTCTCTCTCTCAGGGTTGTAGTGTCAAAAAGTGAAGATAAGTGTAAAGCACCTGGCATAATTAGAGTATTTGGCAGGTATTAGGCATTCAATAATAAAGGTTCTTATTGCTACAGGAAAAAACTGTATAGAAACATCCACCAAAAGGAAAAATGGTAAGTTATGGTAAGTCATTAAAAACTACATGAATAGTCAATAATATAATGGAAAACCTTATAAAATAAAGTAGATACAGAGGGTATACTGGGTATCCAAAATACATTGAAAGTAAAACTATGCGGGGAAAAATTTACCCTAAAGGATAAAATGAGAATATGAATAAATATAAAGTGCTTAGCACAGTGCCTGGTTACATTCTATATTTTTATAAAACAAATAAACCTATGCTTTAAAAAATGACTAAAAAGAATAAAAAAACAACCAGCTCAAATATTCTCTCCTTAGTAAAGTCTACCCTTCCAAGCCAAATGTGATCTCTCCATCCTCTGAACTTTCTGGCCCTTTCCCTAGAGCCTTATACTTCACACTCCTGGCTACTTCTGATCAGCTTCATAGGCAGGTGCACATATGTCTTAAGGATAGAGGCTGTATCTTCCTCACCTTTGAAGAGCACAAGTGCCTCGTGCACCAAGTCTCACATACTGTAGGTACTTGTAAGAATGAATAAAAAAACAGAGCAATAAAGGAGGAAATGGAAGAATGGTCAGTACCATCCCAGGCCCACCAAGAACATAAGCTACCATCCGTTCACATCTCAGGATGAAGCCAGCCCCACTAAAGCCCAGAGAGGCAATCCAAGCCAAATCACAGTAAATCTGAAACTGGGGTTGGGGGGAGGGAAAAGAAGAGGGCTCTAGGGCAGGTCCTAGCTCAGAAGTCTTGCAAAGAGAATGTTTTGGTTCCCTTCACGCCATAAAGTAAATCTCTCTTTCTTAAAACAGTGCATATTTAGGGAACTCCCCAAAAAACTGGCTAAAGGTGTTTACAGGCAAACATCACTGTAAGTTCTTACGCAGGTTCAGGTGTATTAGAAGCCTGTGGTAGCAGCTGTAGAATTGCAGATGCCACTAAAAAGAAATGGGGAGTTGGTTATAAAAGACAAACTGTGAGAAATGTGGAAATGGGCCAGGAAGAGAATGGTACTTGGATGCAAAGACAATAACAGAAAGAGGGGAAATCCAAGATTGCAACCAGAAAGCCAGAAAAGATGAGTTGGCAGGGAGATCATCAGGCAGCCTCAAAACAGCAGACCAGTTTTCAGGAGTTGAAGAAGAACCAGAGAGGAGAGTTCTGTCACTTACCTAAAAGAAATCATCAAAAAAAAAGAGGGTGAACTGTGACGACAACTTTAGAAATAAAAAGTTATCTATCTTAAATCTTAAAAAAAAATCTAAGCCACTAAATAGGGATGAATCAGTACTTAAACATGAAACTCACCCAATACCTCAAGTAAAATTACTGTTATTCTTCAACTGTAAGCAGTCGATACCTCTGATCTGTGGTCATAAAGCTTAGTTTTATACTGCTCTGGGTGTCAGACCACAGAGAAAGGGATAAAAGAAAGAGATGTCACTAAAAAGGAGGAACAAGGGGAAGACTGAAGTCACAACAGGAAGATGCCAGAATGAGACAGGAATATCTAGGTCACACACCCACCAAAGCTTTCTATGCAAATTGACTTTTGAGCAATACAGCAAGTTAAGGCCAGTATCTTTGCTAGGAATAGAACAAAGGCAATGACCAATCAGAAACCTGAAGTAAGTGTGGTGTAGGGAAATGGGAAGCAAGTGACAGGAAATTCAGTTTCCATCTTGGTTCAAAAAATTTGCTGTACTTTTCTCAGGCTTCCTAGCACGGTGGGCATTCTCTCTGATAGAATAAAAAGTGTAAGGCAGAAAACAGCAAAGGGAAGAGAGACATCCATAAGTAGAGGGAACATATTTAGTCCTATTTTTTACATAAATTAGCAACATTTCTACATGAAGGAGTATCACCAGAGAGTACATGGAGTCAGAAAAGTTCTGAGTAAAGAATGTAACTTTTCTCTCCTGAATCCTTTCTTCCTATGTGTCTTAGAGGTCCATTTGCTGACATCAACAAGCATTTTGCTCCAGTTGGCACTATGGAGCCTCCAGATGCTGGAAATAGGAAAGCAAGACACTACTGGGCCTGCCACACCACCAACTGAATTGTCAGCAAAGTTCCCACAGCAGCCCCAAAGGACCAGGCCTACGTATGCCCTGGCTAGGGCTGCTGGACACAAGCATGGAGAAAGAATTTCTTCTCCATCTCATGGGTGGAGCCTATTTGACCCAGGCATGAACAAGCTGAGTCCATAAAGCAAGGGTCTCACTATTTATCAGCTTCATTCTTTTATGCCTTGGTGGATGTCTGTGGACCAGGCAATTTGGCAATAACACAACAACGCCCTTCTCTCAACATCTCTATTGCTTACTGACCACATCACTCTCCAGAGAAGCAGTAAAAACACATTTTAATTATCAACCTGATTGCTTATAAACAAGGTGGTGAAAAATTAACCTCTTTAAATAGAGAGCAAGCAAAAGGAGGGAGATTTTAAAATAAAATATTAGGGTCAGAACTCAACCCACAAACTTGAGGAAACTCAGCTCAGGGAGGAAAAGCTGGCCAGGCCCTCTGTTTTTGAGTTCACGCCACATTTCAAGTGAGTGGCAAGCTTCCCAGCCACTGTCCACTTCTTTGCCAGTCCAGCTGGCAGGGATACAGCCTGACATGGCAAGCTGAATGCCAGAGGCACATAAGTGAGTTCTTTATTGTGCCATCCCCCCCCCAACCCCCACCCAATGCTCTCAGCCAATCCTGGGACTCAAGGTCCTATCCACCCTCTCCCACCCCACTCCCTATAGACAGTATATAAGGGGGAGACCACCTCACCTTGGCCGTCCTGTCTCTGGAGCCACTCACAATGATGCCCCCTTTACAATCCACACAGTTCACCTCCTGTTCATGAGCTGAGTACTTGGCAGTGAAGGTGCTATGAACCTTATGAATGCCAATCTTCCCATCTCTAGAAGAGAAAGAAGAAGCACACCCCCAAGAACCAATTACTCTCCATGGGAAGAAGACAAGTCTACAGAAACAGCCCAAGTCTCCAATGACATCCATGTTTGCTAAATTTTAGACAATTAAGCCCAAGAAAGTGCTGAGCTTCTAGATCTCTTTACCTCTTCGGCATACTTGTAGCTGAACAGAACTGAGACAAAATAAATTTCCCCCTGGAGAGTATCAAAAACAGCTTCACTTTTTATTAAAGGCTCTTCCTGTTTTCCTTCTCCAGCTAACCCTATTAACTGCTTTTGGTAAATCTCTCTGCTTTAAATGGAAAAAAACCACTACCCCTTCTTCTCGTCTCCCTCCTCATCCTTTGGAGTCGAGACAGAAAAGTCAAAGGCAGGCAGAAGGTCCCTGAAGAACACGAAAAAAGAGGGTGGAAGGAGAAACCTACAGCACTTACCCTCCTGCACTGATAATATGTGAGTTGGCCAGCACGAAGTGGCAAACATCCTCATCATGCCCAGCAAAGACCCCCAGGGGCCGACGGTTCAAGCTGGCACCATCTGGGCGGAATTGGTAGGCTAGGATGAAATTAGCCTGGGATATGTACAAAGAATCATCCTCTAGCTGCATCCAAGGCATCTGACTAAAGAGATGGAAAAGAAAATTTAAGGATCATCAAGATACAGCATGAAAACACAACTCCAATCTTTGAAGAGGCTGACCAATCCCCAACTTAGCAAGGATAGCCGGCTAACAGTCTATACCTTAATCCCCTCCTTCAAAATTACCTACACCTCGGCTACCCTCAGAAAACTAGAGCAATTAAGCTTTGTAGTGACCTCATCTTCTCTGAATTTTCTAAAAGAGAGCCAGAATTAAAAGACCAACTAAATATCACTTTTAATTGGAGAATGCTTAATATTGGAATTACTGGCTACCTGGACTCTTGTAGGTAGGTGAAGCTTTCAAAATTCAATGGTTAAGGGGTGGAGAAGGACACAAAGAAATCCTCCAGCCAGGTGAAGTAACTTTCATTCTGCATTCTCATTGATTTAAGTGTAAATGATAAGTTTCAAGGTTCCAAGTCTCCCATTCACACCTCTTTCTCAATAGATCAGTTAGAATATGAGGGAGCAGAGAAGAGTGAGCCCTGGGAAGCCCCATTCTCTTGTTCTACTGGAGCAAAGGAGCCATTTATAAGTGAAAGGAATAAAGCCATTTATGAAAAGATGCTAATGCACTGATTAAATATCTAGATCCTCACAAGGATGTCTACATTTCTGTACTGTTAGAGGGTAAGTGTGGAAATGGTAAAACAGCTCCAGAGCAGTCTGCTACAGTTCAGGAGCTAGAGAGTCAGCTCTCACAGACAACTGGTAATAGAAATCCACAAATACTTAAAGATTCCCTCTACAATCTTGCAGGAGGAGGAAAGGTTAGAAGCCGCAGGCCAGACTCATGGCATGGAGTGCACCTTAGGAAGAAAGAAGACTCTGCCAGATACTAGGCTCCCTGGTGGGGATTAATCCTCTTGCCTTTTCCAAGGTTGACAATCCCACCTGTCCTACTCTATGTAGGAGTCCTGGAACAGCCAGATCCCAAAAAAAGCTTAAGGACAGCTGATTCATCCCCATGTACAGAGACTCCATCTCCCAATGCCAAGCCTGCTTGAGCAAACTAGGCTGTGTTTCTTCCCCAGACTCTTTAATACAAGCGTCATGGGAATGTGGAAAAGTTCTGCAAATTGACTTGACGGGCCATTAAATGCAGTTTGGACTTTGTAGTAACTGCTCATAAGGTTTTTACAAGTGTGTGCATATATTATTGGAACATGTGTAGACTGTGTATAGATGCCTGCATTCTCACTCATTGTGCACATTCCTCTTCAACATCCCCTTGCATGAGTGTGTGGCACACTCAAGTCGGCAGCAAACAGAGGCAGTTGGAATTCATGTGTTTAGAGCCATCTGGTAAACAGCCATTTGCCTAGGACAAGAAACCAGGTTCATGCCAGGTGAACAGTGGAGAATCCCGGGGCAGCCTGGTAACTGTTCCATGTGTTTATTTACCAAACTACTTGAAACATCAGGGAGAAAACCTTGATAGAGAAATAAACTCTGGTATTAAAAGGCAAAAGCAGGAAGAAGAGGGTAACATCCCTCATCATAAAAATCCATCTTTCTCTCTTGTACTTTTTCTGCCATCACCATCACCACTGCCAGCACCACATCATTCATAGTCAGTGAAACCAGTGGAAACTGGACACAAGCAAAAGAGAAACATTCATCAGATGAAGAAGCCTGCCTGTGTCTATCAGCACAGGTATGGGTATCATCCTGGAATGAGGAATCATGATGTTCCGTATCCATTGCAGCCAATCAACACAGAGCACTTTTTTGGTAGGGAGTCAAATAATAACTATGAAATAATTTAGCATCATTGAAGCATAAAATTCATGGCATTAGCAGTGCCACAGCCATTATCTAAATTTTCTGGCATGTTTTCTAAGCTCTCCCTCCTGTAACATATATATCTAAAACATTAGATCCTATTTTGCCTTTTAATAAAGTAGAGGAGAGGCTAAAGGAAGCCAAGAGTGAAGAATTAACTCCCTTGAGTACAAGACTTAAAGAAAAAAATATATATATATATTTTTTAATTTTATTTTGTCGATATACAATGTGGTTGATTATTGTGAAACCTCCCATTACTGAAACCTCCCTCCCTCCTCCCTCTCTCCCCACCCACCCAACAATGTCCTTTCTGTTTGCTTGTCGTATCAACTTCCAGGAACTGTAGTTGTTATGTCTTCTCCCCCCCACACACCACTTTTGTGTGTGTGCGAATTTATTTATTGATTTTTAGCTCCCAACAATAAGTGAGAACATGTGATATTTCTCTTTCTGTGCCTGACTTGTTTCACTTAATATAATTCTCTCAAGGTCCATCCATGTTGTTGCAAATGGCAGTATTTCATTCCTTTTTATAGCTGACTGTATTCCATTGTGTAGATATACCACAATTTCCGTATCCACTCATCTGATGATGGACATTTGGGCTGGTTCCAATTCTTGGCTATTGTAAAGAGTGCTGCGATGAACATTGGATTTCTTTTCCTGCATATTCGCTATTGGAGAATAGAAATGCTACTGATTTTTGTGTGTTGATTTTGTATCCTGCTACTGTGCTGAAATCATTTATCAACTCTAAGAGTTTTTTTGCAGAGGCTTTAGGCTGTTTGATATACATAGGATCATGTTATCTGCAAACAGGGACAGTTTGACTTCATCTTTTCCAAACTGGATGCCCTTTATATCCTTCTCTTCTCTGATTGCTCTGGCTAGTACTTCCAACACTATGTTGAATAGGAGTGGTGAGAGTGGGCATCCTTGTCTGGTTCCTGTTCTTAAAGGAAAAGCTTTCAGCTTTTCCCCATTCAGGATGATATTGGC